GTTCATTAATGTCAAAACCATTTCATGACGCTTAAGAATTAATTGAAGAGATGACTACAAATAATTTTTAATGGCCTTTTGAAAAGGTAAATCCTAAGAAAGTAACCATTATTCCTGAATTTGATGCTTTTTATATGTTAGCAAATCAAGTTGTTGCAATTTCAATGAAGTTAGACCAATTTGGAATGAATTTTCTCAACTATCTCCATGATTGAAGAGAAATTCATTAGGCAAATGGTAGATTCTCAAGCATCATTAGAAACTTTGAATGTCATAAATTCATTCTTATTAGTTTTTTTCTTTTAGTTGATAGATTGTATGCTAATTAAATTAATCTATTTATGTGTGGAATCTTTCCATAAATTCATAGTGCACAATCGTCTCACTTAACCACTTCAAAATTTCTAGCATAAAAATGAGCTTTATATTATTTTTTGTCCTCCACTTTATTGACTTTATATGCATGAACACATATCTATTATGATTAAAGGTTTAAGACACACAGTTTTTAAAATCATAGTAAATATATTTGACAAAAAAATTACTTTTAAAATATTATAGAATAAAAAAAAAACTGGAAAGGAATTAAGGGAAGCTACTTTACTTCTAAATACCTTTTATAATAAATTTCAAACATTTATGTAGTAAAGAAAAAGAGTTTTTATGCTTTAAAACATGATTAAAGTGCAGAAGCTATAATGGAAGAGGAAACTAACACCAAGATAGATGATTGCCATATAGGGAAGAACTTATATAAATTTTTGCTTGAAAATAAGAAAACATGAAACCATGATGATCAAAGTCATGAGAGAGCAGTCATAAACACAAAGTGAGTTCCTTACCTTCATTGTATAATTATTTGTCATTTGAGAGAGGAGGCAATGATAGTTAGTCATTAAGAAGGTTGAGGCATTGCATTTAGTTTTTTTAAAGTTTTCAAGCTATAAAACCTATGCAAATTTATATGTAAATCATCATAATATCTATTTCTCTTGAGGCGGTTAAAAGAGACACAAAATAGTGCACAATATCGTTATGTATTTATTTATTGATATTAGTTTAAATGACTTCTAGTTTTAACCATCATTTTTAATGCCTGGAATTTGATTTTACTTGTGGCAATTCTAGAAATCATGGCTACATAAAAGTTGCAAACACTTTTATCTTTTTTAGTAGTTGTACGATCTCAATTATAATGTTTAAAATGCAAGAAAATAAGAAATCATATTATTTCACGAATTTATTAACATTACTTTGAAATTTAATATATTTTCTTAATTTCCTTTTACACAAATTTATGTCATCCAAATTCAATGGGAAATATGATTTTATATGACTAATAATAACCGTAAATAGAGAAATAAGTTCACTATCAATTTCTTATAAAACTATGACAAAAAATATTACTTCAAACTGAAATGATTCTTATTTTTATAACTAGAAGTAACTCTTGCTAAATACTAATAAGAATTTTTTATAATTGAGCTTTTTAGCCCTTCGTCTTTCCAACACCTTCATTATATTTGAGAATTGTTGAGTGAGTAAATTTAGGCAATGACAAAGTTCAAGGTAACTTTATCTCAATTCACCATTTAATTACGGTTGATCATATTATATATTTTATTATTTAGGTCTTAATATAATGTTTGCATTTAAGACCAAAATTTAGAATGACATTACACATCATGATATATAATATAAATTTATTTGAATCATATTCTAATCATGGTCAAATGATCTTCAAATCATATTAGAATCATCTTTGCATCATAATCACATTATCTTTCAATCATGATCGAATCATTGTCAAACCATCTTTGAACTATATTTGAACCAATATAGATCCATTTTCAAACCATGATTGAATTATCTTCGAATCATTCATCATCAAACTAACTTTTAACTATATTTAAACCATTATAGTTCCATCTTCAAACCATGATTGAATTATCTTTGAATCATTTTCAAACCTTATTCAAACTTTTGAATAACATTTGAATATAATGTATATAATGTTTGATCATGGATTGAAAATATTGTGAAATAAGTTTGAAGATAGTTAGATTTTGTTTGAATATGACTCAATCACAACTAAAAAATTATTTAAGCATGATTTGAAGGTGATCTAATTATATATTGAAAATGACTCAAAGAGGGTTGATCATGACTCAAAGATGACTATTTTATTTTATTTTCTTTCTCTTATTATTTATTTTGAATTTAAATCATTTAAGGATGTATTAAATCATTTGAATTTATTATTTATTTTGAATTTCTCTGATTATATGTCTTATTATCAATGAAGAATGTGTAGTACTTGCAATAAGATACATCATATACCCGACTCACAAAAAAAATTATAAAATTAACTCATGATCATATAAAATTCTATAGAGGCCTTAAATTTATTTCATAATAATATATATCAATACATTCATTCAAACAAGATAACTCTTTCATTAATTCACTATATATTTATTTATCTATGTTTTACTCATTTATTATTTAATTAATAATTTCTTTAAAATATGTTTTGTTATAACTTATGAATTGCACTCATTTGTGTTATGAATGTAGCATTTTAGCCAACGAATTACACATTGTTATGTTATGGTTTTTGGATTGCTCTCTACTATATTATAGCTCTTAGATTAGGCACAAAGTATGAAATTGTAAAAAAAATTAGTCACAATAATATAAATCTAAAAAAATGTTTTATTTACAGAGTAAATTGTCAAAATAGTCTCGGACTATTTATATGAGATTATTTGTTCCAAAGTATGAAATTGCCAAAGTAATCTATAAACTCTTTAAATTGAGGTTGAAATGGTTACAATGG